TATTCATTTTAAATGATGGTTGCCATTTAAACTATGATGATCATTATGATGATCTTGATCATAATTAGCATATTAGTCATAATAAATTATGGTTGCCATGTCAACCATGATGCTCATTATGATGATTTTGATCATAATTAGCATATTAATCGTAATAAATGATCGTTGCCATGGCAACTATGATGATCAATATGATGATTTTGATCATAATTAGCATATTAATCATAATAAATGGTGGTTGCCATGGCAATTATGATGCTTATTATGATAATTTTAATCATAATTAGCATTTTATTTCTAATAAATGATAGTTGATATGGCAACTATAAAGATCATTATGATGATCGTTATGATGATCTTGTTCATAATTAGCATATTAATCATAATAAATGATGGTTGCTATGAGAACTATAATGATCATTATGATTATCATTATGATGATCTTGATCATAATTAGCATATTAATCATAATAAATGATGGTTGCTATGGCAACCATGATGCTTATTATGATAATTTTGATCATAATTAGAATATTAATCATAATAAATTATGGTTGCTATGGCAACTATAATGATCATTATGATGATCATTATGATGATCTTGATCATAATTAGCGTATTAATCATAATAAATTATTGTTGCAATGGCAGCTATGATGATCATTATGATGATCCTGATCATAATTAGCATATTAATCATAATAAATGATGGTTGCTATGGCAACCATGATGATCATTTTGATGATTTTGATCGTAATTAGCATATTATTCATAAAAAATAATGGTTGCTATGGCAACTATGATGATCAATATGATGATCCTGATCATAATTAGCATATTAATCATAATAAATGATGGTTGCTATGGCATCCATGATGCTTATTATGACGATTTTGATCATAATTAGCATATTATTTGTAGATTTCAAACCGGAACTGTCATAACTTAGTTTAATGTTATGTTAATTAGTTATGTTAATTCGGGGTATAAATAGTTGTTCACTATCACTTTGATCATACGATACAAAGTTCAAGCTATAGTCTCTACAATTCAAGAAGCGAACGATTTTCTACCCGACAGGCAAATTAATCTGTAAGTTTCATGAATGTATTCGTATGGTTTACTTGTTCGTATTCGTATTCATTTGGTTGTATTCGTACCGTACTAATCTTTGTAAATATTTGTTTAGTTGAACCGCTACATGATTAAAATTCTGCGAGTTCAAAGTACACGTCTGGTTAAGACTGAGTCTAACATTGTTCAAAGATTAACTAAAACTTTATATCTATCAATTTGGAACCGTCGATTGACAAATTATGCTATCACAGAGCGAAGGATCGCCTAACCAAGAAACAACTAGTTTTGTCGAAGAATCAAGCGAATTTCGGCGATTGAGGCGTTGCCGCTCGGCTGCAAAGGCGAACATAACAAAGAAGATTAAAGAGCTCACTGAATTGATAGGTAATTGTCAAATTAAAGACGACGCTTTAGCGAAGATAAAGGAATTTGAAGACGTGGCAAGTAAATTCTACACAGCTCATGCCAATTATCATGACATAATTGGCGACGAGTATGATATCCGAGACTCCGAAGAGTATTTGCAAACAGAAACAAGGCGAATCGAGAATTTTTCACGAACTCTGAGCGAGTGGATTTCGAGTTTTGAAGACGAAGTATCAAAGGCGGATCAAGAAGATAGACCGGGTGATTCAATAAGCAATATTGGACCCTCGCACCGCGATAAAACACGTTCGCTAGCTAGCTCACGTTCGAGAACAGGTTCGTCTACCCTGAGCGCCAGACTAGCGGCAAGAGCGAAAAGGCCTCATTGGAAGCAGAAAAGGCAGAACTAGCTAAACAACAAGCTCTACAAAAGGAAGAGCTTCTTTTCAGACAAAAACAACGCCAACAAGAGGAAGAGAAGTTACGATTGGAACAAAGAAAATATGAACTGAAGCTCGACACAGAATTAGCAAAAGCTGAAGCAGAAGAAAGAGTATATGCTGAAGCACTTCATAGCGAAAATCAACCTATGGCAACACAATTTACACCCACAATGGCGAAGCAAGCCGGAGTGAAGCTAGAGAATAAATACGCTCTCGGTCAACAAGCCAAATCAATGCCTAATTCCACACCTTTGTTAAAGTCTACGGAGCAAGCCTTCAACTCTGAGAAAAGAATACAGCCGACTAGAAAGAATGTTGCTACTACAAACCAAGGCCAAACAGAGAAGGGTGATACAGATTCGGACGTAGCAGAGGAATTCTTATACAACGTCGCAGAGATACAGCGACAACACACAGCAACAAATGCATCAGATGTTCGACATGCAACAGTCACGAGACCAGCAATTACATCGGTTACTCGATCAGCACCAAAGGTCGACCTTGGCTATGACCCTGCCTAACGTTCAGGTTCCAACCTTTGCTGGAAATCCAATCGAGTATTGTCACGATCTTTCGAGAACCTGATCGAAGCAAAGACAACAAGCGCCAGTGCAAGACTATTCTATATGGTCCAATATACGAAAGGTGAGGTGCAAGAGCTTGTTCGAAGTTGCTTAACTATGGATCCAGAAGAAGGATATCTTAAGGCAAAGAAGCTTCTGAAAGACAACTACGGACAAAACTACAAGATTGCGGCTGCATACGTGGACCGGATCACCCAAGCATCGCCAATTAAAGCAGAAGATGGCGTAGGCTTACAGAAGTACTCCGTGCTACTGGCTAGTTGCAGAAATACCTTGAAGGAGATCGGATACATTAGCAGAGTGGAAAATCCTGAAAGTTTGGTTAAACTAATTGGGAAGCTACCCTTTTCTCTGAGACAGAGATGGCGAGAAGTTGCCGATAACATCACTACCCAGAAATCAAGAGAGATAACCTTTGATGATGTTGTTGAGTTTGTTCAAGCAAGGTCGAGAGTTCAGAACCACCCAATCTTCGGAAAATTGAACAACGACTCACGAAGTAGACCAAGTGAACCTTTAGGTTCTAGGGGCAGACTGAACTTTCAAATTGATGGTAAGCTAGGTGATGAAGGAAAAAAGGAATCAAAACCCTACAAATGTTCCATGTGTAATGGAGATATTCTGCCACGATGTATTCATTTTAAGAAAGAGTCCCTAGTGGGTCGTCTTAAGTTTGTTCGCAAAAGAGGACTATGTGACAACTGCTTGTTTCAAGGACATGTCGCAAAGTCCTGTCCAAAGCCCAGTTTCTGCAAGGTAGCCGGCTGTCAGTTCAAGCACTCAACATATCTGCATCCAAGAAGCGGAGACAGCGGTGTGGACAAGTCGTGTGGTCCTGATAGCCCAAATGAATCAACTGATCGATCAGGTGATGAAGGATGCGCCAACAATGGAGCGCGAAATGGTTGCGTTAGTGCTACCCAAACTGAATGTGGTGTCATCGGGGCCGGCGTCTCTACAACAGGGCTACCATTGGTCCCTGTGAAAGTGAAATGTGCTGGCTCGTTTCGATGGTGCTGACATATGCGTTCCTTGATCCTGGTTCTAACACGACATTCTGTTCAAATGAACTGTTGGAGCAACTTGGCATCACAGGAAAGAAAACAACATTATCTTTGACAACCCTACAGAACGTACAGCAGACGACCAGATGTAGTGTGACCAGTTTGGAAGTTTGGGATTTAAACGAAGAGAACTTAGTGGAACTTCCTACTGTTTTCTCGACCGAACGGTTACCTGTCGATAGATCTAGCATTCCGCTTCAAAAGGATGTTGACAGATGGCCTCATCTCAGAAACGTAAACGTACAGGAAATCGATGCCGCCGTTGGCTTACTAATCGGGAATGATGTACCAAAGGCATTGGAACCGAAGGAAGTCAGAGAGAGCAGTGGCGCAGGACCGTACGCCGTGAGAACAGTTTTCGGTTGGACGATAAATGGCCCGCTTGGAAGAAATAAAACGGCTCGTCGTTGCGCGAACTTCATTCGATCTGATCATGACCTAAATGAACAGTTTCAAACGTTCTGCAATATGGAGTTCAACGACTCTGTATATGACACAAAACTGGAGATGTCGGTAGAGGATTCTCGTGCTCTTGCATGATGGAAGGCTCGGTTCAGCTAAAGGACGGACACTATGAAGTGGCTTTACCATGGAAAAATTTCCCGCCACGTCTGCCAAACAATCGTCCATTAGCGGAACATCGCCTGAACCTTTTAAAGAAGAGGCTTCTCAAAGATCCTCAACTGCTTTCAAAGTATTCAGAATTCATGGATAACATGCTAAGCAGGAAGTATGCTCGCAAGGTCCCTGAGAGTTCGATAACCCAACCTAAGTTACCTTTATGGTACTTACCCCACCATCCCGTAATCAATTCAAATAAGCCCAGCAAAATTCGCGTGGTTTTCGATTGTGCAGCAGTTTTCCGCGGGACGTCACTCAATAGTCAACTATTACAAGGTCCAGATCTAACAAACAGTCTTGTTGGAGTTTTAATTCGCTTCCGAACGGATCCTGTGGCCTTGATGGCGGATATAGAGGCTATGTTCCACCAAGTCCGCGTTACACCAAGCGACTATGACGCATTACGATTCCTCTGGTGGCACCAAAATGATCTTGATAAAGAACCCCAAGAATTCCAGATGATGGTTCACCTTTTCGGCGCAACGTCCTCCCCGAGTTGTGCGAATTTTGCACTCCGAAGAACCGCCGAAGACAACTCAGACGACTTTGGTGCTGAGATATCAGATATAGTAAAACGAACTTCTATGTGGACGACTGTTTAAAGTCTGTTAAAGATGACGAAGTGGGCATCAAAACGGTGAGCTGTTTGACCCAGTTGCTAGCCCGGGGAGGATTCCACTTGACGAAATGGGTTTCAAATTCAGCAAGAGTGATTGCGTCGGTGCCTGAAGATGAAAGATCTGGATCTGTAAAGGCTTTGTGTTTTGGCCAACCAACGGTTGAACGAGCACTAGGAGTTAAATGGGATGTCGCGAGCGATCAGTTTGGATTCAAAGTAATCATCAATGAGAAGCCATCAACTCGAAGAGGGACTTTCAGTAATCAGTTCAGTCTATGACCCTCTTGGGTTCGCAGCCCCATTTATTCTTCCCGTGAAGATATTGATGCAACATCTGTGTCGACGAAAGTTGGGATGGGATGACCTAATTGAGCCCGACGATATGGCACGCTGGAACACTTGGTTGAAGGAATTGCCAAAGATCGAACAGCTTCGCGTCCCAAGATGTATCAAATCCTACTACGTCAATCCAATAGTTCAGACGCAGTTACACAGTTTCGCAGACGCTTCGCGACGTGGATATGGGGCAGCGAGTTATTTGCGCTTTGAAGATTCGAAAGGTAACATCCACTGTTCGTTCGTGATGGCTAAGTCAAGAGTGGCTCCTCTAAAGGAAACAACCATTCCACGACTGGAATTATCCGCTGCTGTGGTTGCGACAAGACTCGACAAGATGATACGAAACGAAATCGATATTGAAATCCATGCCTCCATCTTTTGGACAGACAGCACCTGTGTTCTGGGGTATCTGAATAACACAAGCAAGAGATTCCAGACATTTGTTGCGAACAGAGTTGCCACCATTCATGAAACAACCACGCCTGAGCAATGGAGACACGTGACCAGTGAAGAGAACCCCGCTGATGACGCCTCACGAGGATTATCTGCAGATTCCTTGTTACGCAGTAATCGTTGGTTGAATGGTCCCGAATTTTTATGGAAACCAGAGAATTATTGGCCATGTCAAATCAACCTGGCCGTTGCAGTCAGCGATGACGACCCAGAAGTCAAGAAGAATGCCCAAGCCTTCTCTATTGAAGATAGTTCACACGCCACAGTTGAAGGAATTATCGAGAGATTTTCGTCATGGGAGAAGCTGAAAAGATTCGTTTCATGGATACTTCGATATCGTGCCAATTTATCGAAGGCTGTCATGAGAGCTAAGACTAACAGAAACTCGGATTATTCGACTCCAGACTTCAGACCCCTCGACCTGGATGAAATGCAGCATGCAGAAAAGGAAATTTTAAAATATATTCAAGGAAGAAGCTTTCAAGAGGAGTTAGCTCGTCTTAACTCCGTTGATGACCAGTCAGCAAAGTCGTTGAAAGGCCAAGTTAAGAAAGCAAGTCCCATCTACAAACTTGACCCTCGGTTGAAGGATCAACTCTTGCGAGTCGGAGGACGCCTAACGAATGCCCCCATCTCGGAGGAACGGAAACACCCCATCATCCTACCAAAGAATTGTCACATTTCCACCTTGATTGCAAGGTATTACCACCGGTTAGCGAGGCACAGTGGTTTAGAACATGTTCTGTCCTTGATCAGAGCGCGCTACTGGATGATCGGAGCGAGGAAGACCTTAAAAAAGATGCTAAACAGCTGTGTGGATTGCAAAAGAAGACAAGCAGCAGCAGGTGAACAAAAAATGGCGGACCTCCCAGAGCATCGAGTCACGCCAGATAAGCCGCCGTTTACCTTCGTTGGGGTGGACTGCTTTGGTCCATTTGTTGTGAAAAGAGCACGTAGCCTGGTGAAGAGATATGCCGTTTTATTCACTTGCTTAACCATCCGAGCTGTTCACATTGAAGTGGTGCAAAGCCTCGATACCAGTTCGTTTCTCAACGCATTGCGTAGATTCATCGCCAGAAGGGGACAACCTGAAGTCATTAGATCTGACAATGGCACTAATTTTGTCGGCGGAGAAAGAGAAATTCACAGTGCAATCGATGATTGGAACCAACAGAAAATTCAACGATTCCTCCTGCAGCAAAACGTCAAGTGGATCTTTAATCCTCCCTCAGGATCTCACCATGGTGGAGTTTGGGAGCGCTGCATCCGAACTGCCCGTAAAATATTGTTGGCCCTTTTAAAGCAACAGACTGTGGATGATGAATGCCTTACAACTGTTATATGCGAGGTTGAATCCATTATGAACAGCAGACCATTGACAAAGGTATCTGACGACCCAAATGACCTAGAAGCCTTGACGCCAAATCATTTGCTTCTTTTACGCCCGGGACCATCGCTACCCCCAGGAGTTTTCCAAGAAGCTGATTTGTATTGTAAACGTCGATGGAGACAAGCTCAATATCTCTCGGATGTTTTTTGGCGCCGCTAGCTGAAGGAATACTTGCCAGAATTGCAACGCCGTCAGAAATGGGTTAATGCTCGTCGCAATTTTTCTGTAGGTGATATTGTTTTGCTCGTTGACGAGAATACACCAAGATCGTCGTGGTTGCTTGGTCGAATCACGAGAGTGAAACCGAATTCGAGAGACGGCTTCGTGAGAAGAGTAGTTTTAAGAACGAAACTTAACACCCTGGAACGCCCTGTGGACAAGATTGTCCTCTTGGAAGCATCAGAATGCACTTGATTGTTGAAGAGGACATCGTCATGTCGATTGGTTATCGATTACGGTTAAAATCTTTATATACTGTTTAAATGTCGCCTTATACAACATTTCGGGACCGGAATGTAGATTTCAAACCGGAACTGTCATAACTTAGTTTAATGTTATGTTAATTAGTTATGTTAATTCGGGGTATAAATAGTTGTTCACTATCACTTTGATCATACGATACAAAGTTCAAGCTATAGTCTCTACAATTCAAGAAGCGAACGATTTTCTACCGGACAGGCAAATTAATCTGTAAGTTTCATGTATGTATTCGTATGGTTTACTTGTTCGTATTCGTATTCATTTGGTTGTATTCGTACCGTACTAATCTTTGTAAATATTTGTTTAGTTGAACCGCTACATGATTAAAATTCTACGAGTTCAAAGTACACGTCTGGTTAAGACTGAGTCTAACAGTTGGTTTCAAATTTTTTGACCTGAATGAAATGAACTGCTGGTCTAATATTCTGTTGTATGCTTTTTCAATCCCTTCTGAACATTCTTGCTCAATTTCAAATCTAGCAAATCAATATTAAAGAATTTAGCTTTCAAAATCTGACACCTCATATAAGGGAAAAATTGCTATTTTGGACAATTCTTTTCAAATTTTTTAACTCAATGAAATGAATTGCTGGTCTAATATTCTGTTGTATCCTTTGTCAAACCCTTTTGAAAGTCTAGGAAATATATATTATAGAATTTAGCTTTCAATATCTGACATCTCATATAAGGGAAAAATTGCTATTTTGGACAAATGATTTGAAATTTTTTTAACTGAATGAAATGAACTGCTGGTCTAATATTCTGTTGTATCCTTTGTCAATCCCTTCTGAAATGTCTTACTGAATTTAAAGTTCAGCAAATCAATATTAAAAAATTTAGCTTTAAAAATCTGAAACCTCATATAAGCGAAAAATTGCTATTTTGCACAATGGTTTTCAAATTTTTTGAACTGAATGAAATGAATTGCTGGTCTAATATTCCGTTTTATCCTTTGCTAATCTCTTCTGGACATTGTTACTGAATTTTAGGTTCAGCAAATCAATATTATAGAATTTAGCTTTTAAAATCGGTCACCTCATATTGGGCAAAAATGGTTATTTTAGACAATGGTTTTCAAATTTTTTGAAATGAACTGCTGGTCTAATATTCTGTTGTATCCTTTGTCAATCCCTTCCGAAATTTCTTACTGAATTTAAAGATGAGCAAATCAATATTAAAAAATTTAGCTTTAAAAATCTGACACCTCATATAAGGGAAAAATTGCTATTTTGCACAATGGTTTTCAAATTTTTTGAACTGAATTAAATGAATTGCTAGTCTAATATTCTGTTGTATCCTTTGTCAATCCCTTCTGAACGATCTTACTGAATTTCAAGTCTAGGAAATATATATTAAAGAATTTAGCTTTCAAAATCTGACATCTTATATAAGGGAAAATTATCTATTTTGGACAGTTGGTTTGAAATTTTTTGACCTGAATGAAATGAACTGCTGGTCTAATATTTTGTTGTATTCTTTTTCAATCCCTTCTGAACATTCGCGCTCAATTTGAAATCTAGCAAATCAATATCAAAGAATTTAGCTTTAAAAATCTGACACCTCATATAAGGGAAAAATTGCTATTTTGGACAATTGTTTTCAAAATTTTTAACTAAATGAAATGAATTGCTGGTCTAACATTCCGTTGTATCCTTTGTCAAACCCTTTTGAAAGTCTAGGATATATATATTAAATAATTTAGCTTTCAATATCTGACATCTCATATAAAGGAAAAATTGCCATTTTGGACAATTGTTTTCAAATTTTTTGAACTGAATGAAATGAACTGCCGGTCTAATATTCTGTTGTATCCTTTGTCAATCCCTTTTGAAAGGTCTTACTGAATTTAAAGTTCAGCAAATCAATATTAAAAAATTTAGCTTTAAAAATCTGACACCTCATATAAGCGAAAAATTGCTATTTTGCACAATGGTTTTCAAATTTTTTGAACTGAATAAAATGAATTGCTGGTCTAATATTCTGTTGTATCCTTTGTCATTCCCTTTTGAAAATTCTTACTTAATTTAAAGTTCAGCAAATCAATATTAAAAAATTTGGCTTTAAAAAGCTGACACCTCATATAAGGGAAAAATTTCTATTTTGCACAATTGTTTTCAAATTTTTTGAACGGAATGAAATGAATTACTGGTCTAATATTCTGTTGTATGCTTTTTCAATCCCTTCTGAACAATCTTACTGAATTTCAAGTCGAGGAAATATATATTAAAGTATTTAGGTTTTAAAATCTGACACCTCATATAAGGGAAAAATTGCTATTTTGGACAATCGTTTTCAAATTTTCTTAACTCAATGAAATGAATTGCCTGTCTAATATTCTGTTTCATCCTTTCCGGCTGATCTGGGCGAGAAATGTCAGCCAATCAGTGCACAGCAAGATCCCAAAAATAAAAATCCATACCGTGCTGCGGCGCACGCTTGCAAACTCGAAGAATTTGTAAACATGGCGTATAAAATATAGGTAAAAACAATATGTTTAAAGAAAATGTACGACTCATAGGCATTATGTACTCACATATTACTCTTCGTGTTTGCGGTGGACAGTCTAATCTTTAAATTCTCACAAAATCTCTGTTTGATTCTGCTAAACGCTTCAACAATTTGCTGTATTCTTTCTCTGGGGTCCAAGGATGATGTCGATCCATGACCTTGAAGATTTAGAATAGCAAGCTGGGCAGCCCGAACTAAGGTTTGGGTTAGGCACAAGTGGTAAACGATTGTGCGAGGTTTCCCCTTCTTTAGGATTAAAATTTGCATAGTCCTTGCAAACTCCAGTACGTAAAGCAGAATATAGTGATGGTATTCTTTCTAACTTTGACTGAAAATTCTCTGGGAGCTTGTGACATTTGAATACAGTGACTAAGCAGGATGATTTGTTAGAGTTAGAGGAGGTTATTTCTCTCGAGATCTGAGAGCCTTCCAATCTTTGTTCAACACAAGGTGAACAAAATACATCAGCTGTCAACATCCCGTCAGAAGTTAGCTCCATGCCCATTATTTTATTAAATAGCACATCAATCTTTTTTTTCCGATTTGCTATCATTGCCCGTCTGCTGGTGCTGGACAGATATTTTTTCTGTTCTACAGCCCATATAAAATTTTACATATAGTTTTTCCTTTGAGACACGAGGGTCAATTCTCTTCCATGCAGCGGATTCTGAACCAATACATAATGTTCCTGACTCTAGATGACAATTTAACACTCCAGCCCGACCTTCCAGTGATTTCAAGTATTCAGTTGCAGTCTCTTTATTAATAAAAATTACAAAAACTAGATTGTTCTGCCCATATGTCCACAGATTATTGGCAAGAGCTTCACATTCATCAGATGAACCTTCTGGAACTTTGGCACTTGCAAGACATGCTATTTCGTCTGGACTTATAAATGCTGCTTCATTTTTTATCACAGGTATTTTCATCTAGAATTTCGTCCGTGCAGGTAGTGAAAAGCTATACAAATGACAGTTTTAGTGTGAATATCACATTTAAATTCTTTCTAATGTTGATAAACAACTGGGATTGTTATAAAAAGACCTCACTAATGGTTCAAATTACCTCTGAGTGTGCTTCTGATTGTGATGATTCAGGATTAATTTCATACCATTCACAAGTATCTTCATTATTACCAAAGGATAACTATACAAATGAAAAAAATCAATCATAAAAACCCAAACTAAATTGGTAGAATTGTCTGGTATTCCATAGGTAACACAGAAGAATTACTGGCTAGAGAATGAAATTGGTTTATGCATATTTATAAGGGCATGTGAATGATTGCCATATACAAGTAAACATGGACTGGAATTTGACAGCATAATATATAGGTGGCTAGGATGGTATAATTTGGGTGGCTGCATTGTTTGGCTCCAGTTATATTTTTTCTTATATGCTTTTTTTGCTTAGAGTTGCTTAATGATGCTGATGACGTTATAGATGTGCCTGTTTGAAATGGATAAGTTGTTTTATTCAAGATTTGAAAACTTTCACGCAGTTAGAAAGGAAATAGGAAAGATATTATATCCTATAGATAATCATAGCAGACAACGCAAATGGTAAATGAAATGCAGTATTGTGACCTTATTGATATAGTTCTGGCCTAATGAGCAGGGGCCGGTTGTTGAAGCCCGTTTAGCCTAAATGGTAGTTAAGCTCAAAATAGAAAGCAATTCTATAGATTGAATTAACCACAAAACTAAATGTTTTTAACCTTAATAGAACAAAAATAGTTACAACTACATACTTAGTTCATGATATTTAAGGTACGGTAACTGATTCATAAGAGATACAAGAGTGTTATTTCATTTTGACTTATACACAATTAAAGCTAAACAGGCTTTGAACAACTGGCCCCTGGTGTTAATTTTAGCTTGTGGAGTATTTAAATAGTTTAGGTACATAGACCTTTGAAGTGCTTATGTCACAATTTTTTTTGCCTAAATGATAGTTTTTCCAACATGAACACTTCACATGTCCATTCCCATATTTTTACCTAAATTGCTCTTCTCTTAACTTCTTCTTGAGGCTTTTCTTCACAATGGGCTGGTTTTGATCTCTTCTTTTTAATCTGATTACCATGTCCCAGATGTTATAGATCTCATTTTGAAAAAGTTGAGTGAGAACACATTTTTGATACTCGATAACATCAGCTTGGCCATCCCTTC